GAGAACCCAGCTTGCGTCTGGGTATGTCGCGAACCTAGGCGCGAGCTAGGTTCATTGCCAACCCAATCACACGAGCTAGGTTCATTGCGAACCCAATCACGAACCCAGTCGCGCAAGCTGGGTTCATCCTGGGTTCGCGATGAACTCAGGCACCTGGGTTCATCACAAACCCGTGAGCTGGGTTTGCCTAAAGGTAAAAGGAAAAAAGGACAAAAAAAAAAAAAAGCTAGAGGAAGTGGGGTGACGTAGGAGGTGACGTGGAGTCCACATAAACATATTTTACGCGTTGGTATACCATGTCAGCTGTTCTAGTTAAGTTAACATGCCACGTAAGCCAAAATTTAACGAAGGGACCAAAAAGGGGCCGGATTTGTGAACAATAAGGATCAAAAAGGAGATTTTTTCAGTACATGGACTAAAAATGGGCTTTTTCCTATAGTAGAAGGACCAAAAAGGGTATTTAACCTAATGATTATTGAAATCCTCATTATCTTGATACTTGTCTGAAATTAATTCTTGCACTGTCCTTGGAATCTTATCTTGAACCTTGCCTGGAGTAAAGTCATGTTAGCATCCTTGTCTTGAAAATCAATTGATATTTGGTTTTTGGAATCTATTTTGAATTGTCCTTGAAAACCATTCCTGTCCTGACTCTTGCTCTTGCTCAAATTCTGTATACCGCTCTTGCTCGAATCTTGCATATTTTGCTAGTTTTTGTTTTAGTATACCTGTTGATCTTCTTGATTTTTTATTTTTATTCATATGGACACCTCTTTAGTAGTGGTGATGATTATTAGGAAATACCTATATGAGGCATCCTAATTCTTGTCTCTTGCAAGTGTTAATCTTTGTATTCTTGATGTCTTAGCTTTGACTTGACTCTAGGATGTCTAGGATGACTTGATTGTAAATCTGCTTAGCCTCCGTGGGCTACGAGGTGAAGGGGTAGTCTTTGAAGCACCTGATGCGTTAGAGTTTTGTTCCAAGAGAAATGGTTCTTTTATCTGGCTACTTTGATTTTTATTTGCCCTTTTACTTAAAAGACAGTAATCTTCTAAGTATCCTAATCCCCATTATTGATTATTTTATCAATTAATTCGTGTTACTTGGGGTGCTAAATCTTGACATCCTTGCTATATCTGCTCTTGAATCCGTGTTCTAGTTGTCATTATTGAAATCTCTTTTGTGGGCCTAATCCTTGAATTCTATTGCTTGTTTCATGGTTAACTCTTGTCTCTCAATTTTGACTGCTTGGTTAAATTTGATCTTGATTCTTTGTGAATGTCGTTTTGTTGCTGAATTTTTTGAGGCATTCGACCTTGCACTCTTATGTTCCAGTATTCTTCCAAGCAGTCATATTTTCCACTGATTTCATTCTAGTACTATTCTCGATTTCACATGTCATTTGATGGGTCTAGCTTTTAACTCTTGTTAATTGCTAAAATTTGTCTCTTGATTCCAGTTGTTTGTTAAACATGATCTTACTTATTGGTTAACCTTGTTTTGTGGCAGAATGTATAAGGCATCCATGCACTCGTTCATTCATTCATGATTCGTACATCCATTGGATGCTTATCAGTCTTTGATAGAGTTCAAAGTTTTGTTGTACTCGTCTTTAAATCCATGCCATTCTTTGCCAACTCGTCTTGTGTTGGGTTCATAGCGTAACCCCACAATTGTCTTGTATTGGGTTCATAGCGTAACTCCACAACTATTCTTTTGTAGCCTTGGTAGGATTTATTTCTATTCCTTGTGCTTCCCATATCACCCCAGCCTCTAGTAGCTTGTTTCATGGTAAATCTTGTTAAGTAGTTAATGTTCTGCTTTTATGATTAGTTGTGGTTTGATATCAGAGTGGCATAGCGGAAGCGTAGCAGGTCATGTTCTGTTCATGAAGAGTTGGTAAGGCATTTGTTTTGCCTTGGCTTGTGTGAAACCATTCACCAGTTTGGATGATCCTCAATTTGAGTTTTGGGAACAAAACTCCTTTTTAGGAAGGGTGAATGTAATATCCCAAAATTTTGTGATATTGTAGCATTTAATAAGGGGCTTAATTGTGAGGAAATAATATTGTTGAGCTTAATGGCAAAATTTCCTAATTGTGAGGGACTTAAAAGAGGAAAGAAATTGGATAAGGATAGGCTGATTTTTTTTCCTTCTTTCTTCTTCCTCACCCGCACGTCTGCTCTTTTCTTCTCCCTGCACCGAACAACAAGAAACCCAGCCAAGCCAAGCCAACAGCCTTCCCTTGAAAAACCGGTAGGAAGCTTGGATATTTCTCCTTCTTTTCTTGTTCTAGGATTGAAATTGAACTTAGAAATTCCCCCCCCCCCCCTCTGCAGAAATCCGGATCTGCTCTGCTCTGTCTGTCCGGTTGCTGCTCTTGCTTGTGGGTGCGAATTTCTCTTATTTTTGGGTAAGAAACAGCCACCAATTGCTCTGTTCTTCTTTGAATTGGCTTGGGTTAACACTGATTTCTCTTGGTTTCTCCAATTTTCGGTAGTTTCCCCTAAATTTTCTGCA